GATGGGACACTGTGTCACAGCATCCAGTACAGATCAGGAGAGAAGCGGTACATGCTAGTTGGACCCAGAATGAGTATAGGATCTACTATAGTACCTGGAAGTCACGCAAATACTCTCGTACTCCCTGACAGGAGACGTCCTTCTGAGGAGGTAGGTCCATTGTGCGATTTTAAATCAAGGTTATTTTGGTTGTCAAGACGAAATTTCCCTTACGATGCATCATTAACTTTTGAAACATATGAAGTACATGATGTAAATGTATTTAAGGTTTTTAATCGTTTTATTTCATTCTTCTATTCTTTTTTTTTTACACACTTTATTTTCAAACAGTATTTTAGTTGTTATCACCATCATTTTGAAAGACTGCCCATTATATTCTGTAGTCTTTTGACACTGCACTAATTGCTGGGATATCCACGTATGCATGGGGCGAAGATTAGTTTAGAAAAGATAAGTAACTAAATGAAAAAAGGTCACGCCACTCAGATTGGGAAACTGTGGCAAAACACATGCATATTTATTAGCGTTGTGCATGGACAGGTGACGTTCAGACATAAACTCGTGGTCTTCAAGTTCAAATCTGTTTTTCGTTTCAGACCTTTTTGTATTTAGCGCCAATCCTATGTTTTCTATCACACTTATTAGAAATCACTAATTGTGTTACATATTACTGCGTCGTGGAAATAGTAATATACCTATCCACTGTTCGAATGGGATCCTGTTAATTCATCTGAAACGTGAAACTGAGCAATACAAGCCTGAAACTCGCGTGTGCTGTGTCCTCGATTATTTTTCTTTCAGTCTGCGCGCAGTTTTATCAGAATCACTTGTGCGTTTGGCTAATCCTGCATCATTACACAGCATTAATGTAATACTGACAAATATCAGAATTCACTGTTGCACTTATGATATACTGTACGCGTCTATCAGCTGATCATCATATGACGCAAAAATACATGGAATTTGATTCCTGAGACTGAAATATCTGACAAATTAAATCCATCACGGTAAAAAAATTCTTAAGAAAACATTTTTAGACTTGTTTTAATAGTGACTGGGACACATTTGGAAACATACTTGTATATTACATGTAGATGTTTGCTCCAACAATGAGTCACAAGATGTTCAGTCCACAAGGTGTCAGTGTCATATCTGCATCAAAGTAATATGTTTTAGCTCTGGCCCTGCCCCTTCCATAGAGGTTTTGTTCTGGTTGGCAGAGGGGAGACGATACCTCAGACAGAAACAAGTGTAACCGTGATTTTTCCACGAATACGAGGGAATATGAGAAGAAGTGTTGATTTAGGCTACTTCCTTTACGGTAAACACCTCTGAGTGGATACAGTATTTATTATCTAAACGAAAACGATGGAGGCAGGAGGACAAAGACGAGGAACGCAGTGTTGGTGGGTTGCTATCAGCTTTTCTCTGATGCTCAGCTGTGTGGAGCGGGTATCAGCTCAGATAAAATATTCAGTTCCAGAGGAAGTAAAGGTAGGAAGTGTTGTTGGGAATGTGGCAAAGGATCTGGGACTGGATATCAGTTCACTGGAGGAACGACGGTTTCGTATTGTTTCTGGAGCTGAAGATGCTCAGTTTGAAGTAAATCCGAACAATGGCGCTCTGTATGTTCATGGAAATATCGACCGAGAGGAGCTGTGCGAAAGAATACATCCATGTATCAAAAATTTAAAATTGGTAGCTGAGAACCCCATGGAAATACATCATGTGGGCGTGGAAATCGTGGATGTAAATGATAATTCACCCAGTTTTCAAGAATATGAAAAAATATTGGAAATGTCTGAATCCACTATAACAGGCAGACGATTTCAGTTGCCAACTGCGCATGATCCGGATGTTGTTACTAATACTGTGCGTATGTACAAATTAAACCATAACGATCATTTTAGTTTACAAATTCGAGAGAGAGGAGAGGACAAGGTACCATTTTTAGTTTTACAAAAGTCTCTGGATCGGGAAAAGGAAAGTGAACACAAACTGATACTAACAGCAGTTGACGGCGGAAATCCACCGAGATCAGGGACTCTTAATGTAACAGTCATAGTCCTCGATTCGAATGATAACCACCCTACATTTAGTCAAGAAGTTTATTACGCTACAATACGTGAGAATACAGATGCGGGTGTGTTTGTAATTAAGCTAAATGCGACTGACCTGGATGAGGGACTAAATGGACAAATTGAATACTTTTTTGGTGGAGAACTTAAGGGGAATTTATATGAGATTTTTAATATGGATAAGGACACTGGTGAGCTTCGGATCAATGGGGAAATTGACTTTGAGAAAACTGATATTTTTAAGTTGGACGTCCACGCCACTGACAAAGGACAACCTCCGATGAGTGCGGATTGCACAGTAATCATCAATGTCTTGGACGTAAATGATAATAAACCTGAGATAGAGGTGACATCTTTGTCAAAGATTGTATCAGAAGACTCCAAACCTGGGACTGTGGTGGCTTTGATCAGTATTACAGACCAAGACGCGGGTTTAAACGGTAAAGTAATATG